CGGCTCTATATAAACTCTTCCCTTAAATAATACGTGTACATATTTAAATATATTGAAATGTATATATTTTTTTTATTTTTTGGTCCGGTCCAATCGGGTCTAGGTACCATAAGTTTTTTCGAGTCCAAATCCTGCTGGACTCAGATCTGACCCGACCCGTTGTCACTTCTAAATTTGCCGTAATAGGAACATCTGTATAGGAATAAATAGGGTTAGCAAGCCTGCTTTAAAAAAAACTAAGGCCTAGGTCACATAATGTTGCCCTGAGGGCTGAGTCACCACGGCAGGCCTGGGGTGAGGTTGATTAGAGCCACAATATGGCCATTCCAAAACCACCCCTTTTTTTTTTCCCTTCTTTGAGTGTATTAGGCTAGGCCGGGCCCGGCCCAAAGAGGCTAGGGTCAGGTCTGGGATAAGGCCTCTTTGGGCCCATCCTGTGGGGACCAGAGTTGGGCTAAGGCAAATACCGGCCCGACCAGACCTGCTGCCAGCCCTAGAAATTAAATGGAAGTAAGCGGCATTTTATATGGAATGCATTTCATATTATTCACCCAAAAAAAAAATTGCGTTTCATATTGGTAGAGATATGAAATAGATTTTCCAATTTCCATTTATGGTCTGGCCTAGTCCCAAAAACTCAAGCCTAGGCCACAAAATGTGGCCCGAGGGCCGAGCCTGGTCCAAGCGCCCAGCCCAACCTGACCCTTTTTCTTCTTATGCCTAGTCCTCTTGACACCCCTACTTTGAGAAATCTGTCTAATTGAACAAACGTACAGTCCACTTTTTTTGTTAGCTGGGATTCGAACCGAGGACCTTTTATAACCGACATTGTCCACATTTTTTTTCTTCTCTTAGCTGAGATTCGAACCTGGGACCCTTTATAGAGAAGCCAATTTTCGGTTGACAGACCCAATTAGATAGAATTTAGCACGCGACTTACAAAACTGTATCTTAGATTCACCTTGCAAGAAAAGAAGTACACAAGTGGCAATCCACCGTCTATTTTGAACGGTGGGTGGTGGAAATCAAGTGTAATAGGCTAAGCACGTCATCGTACACAACGATTGTCAATGTCTACATCCACCAGTGCAAATAAATGTTGAATATCCTTGTGGAAAAAAATTATCAGGGATTGTCTACAAGAGAGAGACCATATAATCTTTGGAAAAAGTTTATATAGACCGAGGTTCTAAACAATCACATTAGAGCCCTCCTTAAAATTTTAATTAGAAGAGGTTGTTTTGATGTTCAAATATCCGCAAATTGATTATCTCGACATCAAGATGTATGGACAAGATAAAAAAAATGGATTTAAAAAACAATGCATTTTGTAACGCATTTTTTGACCGTCAATTTTCAAGATTTTCATAAGTTTGCTCGATTTATACTATTTTTGAAGCTTTAAATTTTATAATTAGAGATCCAAATATATTTTAAGGCTATCGCAAAGATTTCCAAGATTGAAACCACATTTCTCGACTCTATTTGAAGGTGGGCTTTATTTTGATTGTTTAGAGCCTTGGCTCTATACAAACCACATCCTTTATCTTTTATACATAGAGGTCACAATAATTTTCACTCATTAGATGTCAAATTCGATGGCTTAGAGTGAGTCACGAAGCTTAAGAATTTTTTTTAGAACTTTGTGTTTATTCAATGATATTCTTACGACTACCCATCTGAAATTTAAGGGACAAGAATCATTGTGACCTCTATCTACAAAAGATAAAGGAAGAATGTTTATAGAGAGCCGACATCAGGATGCATGGACATGAGAAAAAAATGGATTTAAAGTTTTGGAAATAGTGCATCTAATAACGCATTTTTGGATTGTTAATTTACAAGATTTTCAAGTTTTCATAGATCTACTCGATCTATACTATTTTTGAAGCTTTAAATTTTACAATTAAGGATGAAAATATATTTTAAAGCTATCACAAAGATTTTCAATATTAAAACCACATTTCTCATCATTGTTTGAAAGCAAGCTCTAATTTGATTGTTTAGAGCATCGACTCTATACAAACCACACCCAAAGATAAATGGTTTCTTTGTAGACAATCCCAACAACACCTAAAAGATTTCATACTCCTGTAGGAGTATACTGTCCAATTATTGCCTTGGGAAAAATCAACTGTAGGAGTGTCAATTTAGGACTCTAAATTTTCGGGATGTAAACTCCTCAACCCTTATACTAACCTCAAATTTTTTTTTGGCAAATTGCTCTCTGTGCCACTGAAAAAAGGAATGTCTCGAGATTGAATAGAGACTGTCCAAGTTTTAGATCGTGAGATCTAGGCGTTGACAAACTCAAAACTCAAAATTTTTTATTTTGAAAATAATCATTCTTAGGTGGTTCCAAAAAAACTTACATTAAAAAAAAAATGAAACTCCAAAGCAGATCCACTGGCCGAGACAGTAGACCTATATTATGCTCCCGAGGGAGAAAAATATGTGTGCTCATCTATCTATACATTGCAGTTGATTATTGTGTAATTCAGTGATTTAAATATCACCACGATGAGCGCGACTAGCCTAGTCGGCTCGGGACCAAGTCCTCATTTTTAAACACTAGTTTAATCAAATCAAGTGTAAAGAAACCAAAGGAGATTGTACATTATGTTATATTTCTCAAAAGAAAAAAGAGATTGTACATTATGTTATATTTCTCAAAAGAAAAAAGAGATTGTACATTATGGTACACGTAGTATACAAGTAGTGCGACATGTAACCTTAATACAAACAGATTTAATCCCAATATTTAGACTTTTGAAAATCAGAATCAGGTTCTAACCTGGAGACTCGAGCACTGTTGGTTTTTTTTTTTTTTTGTTTGTGTTTTTCTACCTCAAATTGTTTGGATTAAATTCGGCCGATTCCAAGTTAGATTGGCAATTTTTTTAAACGATTGTATACAATGAGACTATTTACTTTTTGTATAGGGAGGTCACAATTACTTATAGTCATCCGATGTGAAATCTAATAGCTTAGGTGTGTCATAAAGTTCGAGAAAATTTCTTTTGAATTTTGAGCTTGGTCAATGAAATAAATACAGCCAATGGTTTAAAAAGCAGATCGGTGACCCATATCGGGCATCTCAAAAACCGATTCGGATCGGTAAATCGATGATTCGGAACGGGAATCGGCTGAATCGGTAGGATTAAAGCTTCAAAAAAATCCAAAAAAATGATTAAAATTCATTATAAATGTTGTTTTTTAGGAATCAATAAGAAATGAAGGTACTACATTATTAACTTTCATTTTTCTCATCAATTTGTATATATTGAGATGCTCTTTCCATGTATAAACTTAAATATTAAATTTGCATCACATAAAGAAAAAACATAGAATTATCATGGATAAAATATATAATTATACATGGACTATTATAAAGTGTAGACTAATCAATGAAAGAATGGCCATTAAAATCTCGTTTTGGCGAAAAACCCTAATCCGCTAAAAAAACCCAAATTATTACAGCCTAACTAACTATAATATAAAATTATTACAACTTAACTAATTATAATATTATATATTAAAATTATAATTATTAGTTTATATTTTATAATTATTTTATTAGACAAATAATAACAAATTAAAAATATTTTAGAATATTATCTAATTGAAAAGTGATTAAAAAATTATTAGAAGAGGCTTCCATATCATATGACTAAAATTAAAAATAAAACCACCAATAAATTCTAATGTAATTATATTACAAAATTCGAAATAACTTTACCCAAAAAAATGAAAAATAAAGATGCCAAAATTCAAAAAAAAATCCTATTGGCAATATGCACAATAGCTACAAAAAATAAAAATAGAAATAAAATATTGTAATAAAACCCATCAAAAAAACTATTTTACTAATAAATATCAAAAAAATTTATATGGCTATTTTTTAATTTGACACACTAAATTAATGAGTGCTATTAATTTATTTTTAAATTTTATATAGCCGTTTATTGGTGCTATTAATTTTTAAACGGTGCTATTAATTTGACACGCTAAATTAAAACGCTACACATATGGACAATGGCTTGCAATAGTTAATGGCTTGAAAAAATTATATGGCTGTTTATTAGGTAATGGCTTGTGTGACGATGGCTTGCATGCTGTTCAAGGCAAGTGGGAATTGTCCCACATCAGAAATATCAAGCGACTTCTAAGTTTATAAAAGATGTGAGGATGAGCTCTTCAACAGCGTGCGAGCGAACGGTACATCGGGTAACACGTGACCACATGTGAATGTGGTGCTGCCGCCTAACAATGTAGAAAATTACCTTTATTTTTAAGATAAATATCCCAATTACCCTTGGAAACGTCATACATGCCGAGACACGACGTCACCATTCGATTCTAATTCGGCTGGAATCGCTGATTCTCTTCTAGAAGAAGGCGATGTGCTAAAATATTGGGGCAACCTTGCATGTGCGCACGTGTGAGTGTGCACGGACCAACGAGAGCACGTGCGTGAACCAGCTAAATCGGATGGGAACCGGCGGTTCTACTCTAGAACCAGGCAGTTTCCGGTTTTATGATGGAACCGACAAGGGCTGTGCCGGTTCCCAAGTCAAACAGTTTGACTGGCCGATTTTTAAAACACTGAATACAGCTATCCGATTTGACATCCAATGATTAAGATTAATTGTGACCACCTGTGCAAAAGGTAAATGGTCTCATTATACTTTCTCTCTTTTTAATAAGGAAAAAGAAGAGAGAGAGAGAGTGAATTAGAGAACCTGAAAACTCTTAGCCTTCTTGGTAGTGCTAGCTGTCGATTTTGATCATCGACGGCTGATTCTAAGTCGGATCGACGATTTTTCAAAGAGTGTAATCCTTCTTATGTGAATTATCTCCTTTATTACTATTCCAAGCACTCTCTCTACACAGCCTCTAGTTTGATAACATAGAGGTTTAATTACTCTCTCTCTCTCTCCTTATTCTCCACAGCCTCTAGTTTGATAACAGAGGTTTAATATCTCATGGCCTTCAATAGTTCAACAGCTTTCTGTCGCTTCTTCTCCTCCTCCTCCTTCAAAAAAATCCTCTCTTTTGAACCCAAACATTTGTTCCAAAACCCCCACATTTCTCAGTGCCATCTTCAAACTGTTTTCATCGCCATTATTACACCTTAAATGCTTCAATGGCTCATGCAATAGCTTCTTAACCACCCCTTTACTAAGCTCCTCCATTGCCTTTCTCTCTCTGTGTGAAACCCCACTCCTCATCTTCCCATAACATCTCTCTAGCTCTGAAACCCTAATGCTTTCAGCGAATTCCATGAGCTTTTTGATTGTAGGAACAAAAAAAAGAGAATTTCTCCATGCCCCGAATTTCATGGCCTCCTCTTCGATGATTTCCATGGCTTCTATGGCCTTTCTCTCTCTAGCTTCCACATTAGTTTCCACCATTTCTCTCACATCATCGACGTCAAAAACTCTTACTCCCTCTACACCTGCAACACATTGGCCGACATTTCTCGGCACTGAAATATCGACAAACATCAGCTTCTCTTTCTTCTCCGCACAGTCCCCCTCTTTTTCTCTCTTCTCTGCAAATCCTTCCAAATTCTCTCTCAAGAACATTGGCTTCTCAGAGGAAGTACAGGTGAAAATCACATCCGCTTCATCAACAACTGAATAAATCTCAGAAAATGGCCTGTAAAGTATTTCTATCTCACTCTTCAAACTCTTCTTCAAATCCGAAACCCTATCTTCGGTTCTATTCACGACCACCACTCTCTTGAAACCCTTCGAACTCAGATGATTTATCAATAGCTTTGCCATTTTCCCTGCTCCAATCACCACAATTTTCAGAGGATTAAGCTTAGGATTGAGGTTGAGGTTGAGATTAGAGATGGCGAGATCAACGGCCGCAGAGCTCACGGAGATGGAACCAACGGTCAGATTCGTGGCTGATCGAGCACGTTTTCCCGCCATTATGGCATGTTTAAAGAGGGCTAATAAGGTTTTAAGATTAGGATTAGGGTTAGGGTTAGGTGAATGGTTTAGAGCTAGGATTAGGGTTAAGACTTGCTTAACCTGGGAGAGGATTTGATTTTCTCCTAAGATTAGAGAGTCTAGGCCTGAGGATACACGGAAGAGGTGTTTGGTGGCTTCTTTGTCTTTGAGGATGTAGAGGTGAGGTTGGAGGAGAGGGAGAGGGATACCACCTGCCTGTTTGAGAGAAAAATAATAAATTAATAAATAATATCAAAAGGCAAAGTAAGAAACTCTCAAATATTTAATTAATAGCATGCTCTTTTGTTTGCTCTAGGGGGGGCAATGGGTTGGGGTCGGGGTCCAACTGGGATCTAATACAACTAGGTCTAACTGACTCAGACGTGGGTCGAGTTTGGTCGGGTAACGTTGTAGAAATGAAAAAACAAGAAATTAAAATATTTAAAATTTATTATGTATATTTTATAATATATAGTTAATATTATTCAATTTATATAGTTATATATATATATATATATATATATATATATATATATATATA